TCATTAAAAGTGTTTCAGTTTGTTTCTCAGAGTCCACAAACCCTCATGGTTTGTCAAACTGAGGACTTTAGGGGGGAATGGGGGTGGGGGGATGGGTTGGCCGTGTGGTGGGTATTAAGGAGGGCACATATTGCATAGAGCACTGGATGTTATATGCAAACATGAGTCTTGGAACACTTCATCAAAAACTAATGATGTACTATATGGTGACTAACATAACGTAATAAAAATAATGAATTTTTTTAAAGTGAAAAAAAAAAAGAGAGAGAGAGAGAGAGAGCGAGCATGTGGGCTCTGTAAACTTGTAAGCCAGGACTCCAGCAAGTCATTCTTGCGGATGGCCAAAAATCTCGCTTGCTAAACACCTTAAGCAATTGGTTTCAGCTGTTTCAGACAGGACCGCCTTCACCACATTTCACCTCCAACAGCAAAAGTCTGTCAGGCGAAACACCCAGGTGGTTTTAAGTACAGAATTATCACTGTACCTTAGAGTTTCCAGTGGAGAGAAAAGTTCATTTGTGACTTGTGCTCCCAAATACCACCATATTTTGAGATAATATGCTTGGTACCGTCTGGTTTCAGCAATTCATGCCAGGATGACCTAAGCAAGCTCTATCTTGCCTCCTGAACTCTGAAAAACGGGAGGCTTCCCGTTACTGGGGGGTTAAGCCTCTTCAACACTGAAAAACGCAAATCTTTGGCACAGAGCAGTCACTCAAGATTTAGGAGTGGGCTCCCCCTAAGCATAGGCTTTGAACACGATTTTCTGAATTTATTATTTTTCAGTTTATTAAAGTTCTAATCAAGGCAGAATTGGAGGTCATGTGAGATTTAAGCATGTTTTCTCACAGAGAAATTTTTGTGAGCTAGCCTAAATGATTTTTCCTAAGGATGTTACCAAAGATAATCAGACACAGAGAATCTATACGACACACCTATAGCTTTCTATGGCAATGGCTACTCCCAGTTGGCGCTTCCGGGCAGAATCACCCAGGGAACATTCTGAAAATACAGATGGCCCAGCAAAACCCCAGGTTTTCAGGAGTGGGGGGCCAGAAATCTTTTTCTGGAGTGTGGCAGCTGATTCTGAATCACAGCCAGCCAGAACTGTCCCCCACTATGTCACATGTTTAATCAAGGCCTTAGGAGGGCACAATTTTCATCCCGTAATGATCTCTAAATAACACATATTATTTATACTTCCTAAACATGCACATTCATAAGCATGCGTATGTCCCTTCCCCCATCCCTGGTGCTTCGTATAGGGTGCTCTTCCCATTTTTGTCTGTGAGCCAAGTGAACAGAGAATTATGTCTGATTCAGTGTTCAGTACAGTGTCTAGAACATTGGCACCGAATGTGTGTTAAAAAAAGAGAACCACTAAGAACTACATGTTGCTTTCATACACCATTCTTCCAATGCAGGTTTTTCAGGTTTAAAATACACCGTCAACAGATCATATGTTCAGAAACAAAACTTATTATTTTCCACAAATAGGTTAAGCTTACCTCGTGAGACCCCAACTCCAGTCGAGACCGAGAACGTGTATTACGGGAGTCGAGAAGGGAATAGTCGCTCCGTGAGAGATTTGCTCTTTGAAGTGGATATTTGGTCAAACCAAACAGTCTTTCTCCCAGCCATGAGGCTTACCTGGTGTCTGGATGGATGCTGTCTCCTCCCAGCCCAGCCGTGTGTCTTTTAGCTATAGCTTATCCCTCCTCATCATTGGTGTCTGCTGAGAAAGAGGCACACGTGCCTCACGTCCCCTGTGCTGCAATTGTTGCTGACACCTGTGGTCTCTTCCACACCCTTTCATCAGGAAGAGGGTGTGCCTGTGTCCTCCACACCCCAACTTCAAGCTTCTCGTTCCTTTAGCACCTCTGCAACTGTTCGGGACGGTCGCCTGTTTCTCCCTCCCCGAGCCAAGGGAGTGAGGGGTCTCTGAGGTCACTTGTCCACCGAGTCAGCCCTCTCCCTCGCCCTCTAGGCTCTCTCTCTCAAATAAATAAATAAAATCTTAAAAAAAAAATTCTTTCCTCAAACTTTTAGTTTTAACTTAAAACATGTACATGTATATTCATTCACTAACATTTTCATGAAGGACCAAGGCCTTTTTTTTTTTTGAAAGTGAAACTATTGGTTGGAGTTCTAAGTCGTCTTTCTTACATGAGCCACATTCCGACTATATATCTATAAATTCAAGTTTCTGTTTTCTTTAGATTTGGACATGCAAAACAATCTGAATGCAGATCCTTCCAAGTTGTCATGACTCTTCTCCATTACTTACACTTGTCTCCCCCACAACTCCTTCGGCCCCCATTTTTACCACCCCGTCTATTCAATCTTCACAAAACTTTGTAAATGCAAAGAGGAACAACTCCTTTTAAAAAAGAGATTTTAGAGAAATGACTCTTCTGCCCTCAGTCTACAGTGTTCTGTAATATTTAATGAAATTACTTCATTGTAATTCCAAGTTTGGATAAAATAAATAGATATAAGGAAAAGTCTGTGAGAGTTCTAGAGTTAGCTTCAGAGTGTGAGGATTCTTTGGGCTGCCATGAGCAGCCTGGCTGTGTTGACAGAGAGAGCAATGGTGTCCGTGAAGCTGGGGGGTGGGTTAGGTGGAGTTTTGTTAAAAGGGCCTCCACTGTACTGAGAAAAAAAAGCCCAACATCAGGTAAAGCAAAATGCAAGGTACAATGATTTCAGAAAAATGCACTCGTATAATGGAAAGAGTACTTTTTTGATGGGGGAAGGAAAAGGCAGAAGTGAGGAAATTCTAGATTCTAGACAAGGACACTGCTAATTGGGGACTCTGGGTAAATCAATTATATTTCCTGGAGTACATCTTTTTTCTTTTATAGAGGTAGGCTAAGTTGTCTTCAGCTTCAAAGCCTTTTATCCATACTTCCCATGGTTCCTGTGGGTAAATATGGTGTAGGTGAGAGTGACAGTAAATCACGCTTAACTTCCTCATCTGTAAAATGAGGGAGGAACTTAAGCATCAATCAGCAATTCCTCAGCTATGTTCTTCAGAGAGACCCTCCTCAGAAAAGGCAAGAGATAGTCTTCAAAAAGCTCAGTATCAGACAGTTTTACAAAATGCTAGAGTACAAATATAAAAGAAGGTTTCTTTACTACAAAACTTCATGGTCTTTAATAGGTGAAAGAGTATTATGACTCTCTAAGGAGAAAATATGACAGCCAGCTTCCACAAAATATATTGCACCAAATCTCTCTCTCTTCTCTCTTTCTTCTCTCTCTCCTTCTTGCTCTCTCTCTGTCCCCCATAAAATCTCTCCCAGGACTAGAGATCCACAGAAAACACTTTGGGGAAATTCTAGCCCAGCTATTTCAATGGTCCTTTCTAGCTCCAAATTCACATTTTGCTGGGGCCTGCATCATTGACTCACTGAGACTTAACAAACAAGGTGTTGGAAATGGCCAGAGAGATAATGGAGTCATTTTTAAAAGACAAATCTTTGAACAAGGTCAGGAAGGGGAAAGCTACCAGAACCTTCTTTTGATGTTTTCCTTGGCACCTAGTAATGATGACCACTAAACTATGTCATTATAAAGATATCTCTGGGGACGCCTGGGTGGCTCAGTGGGTTAAGCCGCTGCCTTCGGTTCAGGTCATGATCCCGGGGTCCTGGGATCGAGTCCCGCATCGGGCTCCTTGCTCAGCGGGGAGCCTGCCTCTCTCTCCACCTCTGCCTGCCTCTCTGCCTGCTTGTGTGCTTTCTCTCTCTCTTTCTGACAAATAAATAAAAAATCTTTAAAAAAAAAAAAAAGAAAGAAAAGAAATCTCTGTACAGCACTGGTATGTGATGGAGGTGACTTCCAAATTATCTTTATTGATGCTTTGGTCCCTGCCTTTATGCACATACATTTCAACTCAACTGATTTACTTTTCTACTATCAGTGAAGGGACTATATACAGAAAATACAGCAGAAAGTAAAGATAGTAATAATGAATAATAATAATAAGAGAGTTGGGCCTTTCTATCAAGAAACCTTGCAAATCCATGCACCTTCAGTGTACTTACCTGTACCAAATGCTCTTTTTCATTCAATTTATATTTTATGTACAACATCTAAGTGGGCAAGAACAAAAGTGTATCTCGAAAGACTGAACTATCTTGAGACTGCTTAGGGAGTGAATAACACTTTAGTGCCTCATCAGCTAAGAACTGTATAAATTATACTCCTAAAAGTGACCCACCTCCCTGAGAGATCATGCAAATAAAGGCCCACTGAGGCCAGCTGCCTGCCACAGGTTTTTCTCTTTTGTTTGTGTGTGTGTGTGTGTGTGTGTGTGTGTGTGTATTGGGGTTTTTTGTTTGTTTGTTTGTTGGTTTGTTTTTTTGCTGACTACTGCTGGATATATTAATGTTACTAACATTACTGTCTTTACTAATGTCACAACATTTCATTATTGCCATTTTACTAATGAGGCATCTGGTATGAAACAAAATAAGTTCAAAGTTAGAGGCAACTATTGTAGAAGGATCTTCTCTGAAATGTGTTCCATGGTAATATCACTTCACCCTGGAAGGGATGGTCAACGTAAGTAGCCCCCAGACAGCTTTCTCCATCGTTTCTCTAACAGCCAACATATATTAGACCCGGTGGAGTGGACTACGTACTACAAATATGGCTCTTGTTTATGGTTGTATCTGAAATTTAGAGAATTTTAAAGGGTGTAGTTCCTCTGAGGTTTGAACCATATGCTGCAAAGAGCCAAAGGACTGTTTTTACCCATGCATATTTGCCGTGTGAACATAGCGCTAGTCACATATAAATTTATATATGTCTATGCATTATATTTGTAGGATTATCTCCATTTTCTTGCCTCTACGGTGGAAGGATTTGGACTAGACTGTAAATAATATTAAGTTGAAAAGTCATTTTTAAAATTATTACAGATCATTTTTTTAAAGGACATAGGTTTCCACACATCGGGTGAATTACCACATTCAAATTCCCAATGAGCTTACCATTCTGTGAGTTTGCAGTCCATTTCTTCAGCTGAAATAGCATTTGTAAGCAGTGCACTGATTTCCTACATTTCTCTCCTTCAGAATATCCCCAAATATCTCCATTCATGTATTAATTCAGTCAGTAGGTATTTAGCCAATAAAAAATAGAATGGGGATAGAAAGATGTCTAAGAATTGGTTCTTGCCTTCCCGGAGCCTGCAATCTGAAAGAGAAAACAGGACACTTATAAAAATACTGAAGGAATGCCTTCAATATAATATACACATGATGAATATTTTCCCACAGTCGAAGTGCTGCTGTAGCTCTAAGGAGAGACACATCACCCCCAGATGGAATGAACAAAGCAGCCTTCATGGAGAGAGGAGGATTTGAATAAGACTTGCAAGAGATGAGTAGGATTCTGAGGGCTTTCCACGTAAGTCCTGGAGCCAAAAAGAAACCAGGTATTGCCTAGGATTCATACATGTCCACGTGGTCTATGCAGTGGAACTTGGGCTGATGCGTTTGGAAGGACAGATCTGAGCCAGCTTCTGGGGAATTTAAACCAGCTTTTGACGAATGTCCAAAGTCAGTGCTGGCTTGCTAGGAGAGAAGGAACCGTGGCACATTTATGAGTAGGTCGTGCTAGTGCGTGGGGGAGCTGGGCGGAAGGTAGAGGCAGGAAGATAGCTCCAGAATATGAGATAATTGCAGTAATACAAACTGGAGGCAAAGCCAGACCAGTGTGGCAGTTAGAGAAGCCAAAAGAAGGGAGAAGATACAAGAGACGTTCACTCATCCATTAAATTAACATTGATTGAGTCACTGTTTCCCAAACATCCTTCATTTATATACGACCATCGTGACTTTTGCCACATCTGGCTCTACTGGTATCATTTTTTTTTAATCTAATGATTTTCTACAAATAGACTCATTTTTTATTTAAATGCATTCAGTTAGAAAACAACAACTTGATATCACTTCCATTTGCCTTACCTCCAGTTGAAATTAACCATGAAAACAAGAACAAGGAAAACAAAACTAGTCGCTCAGATAGATGCTATGCCTGTTGAATCCTGCCTACAAGGGAGGAAGAGCAAAAAGGGGTGTTAAAATCATATCGTCAAGAAACAGGGAGCTTTCCTCTTTGATTAAATTAAATGGGTTGGAAGAGAATTGAAATGGAAGTAACTTCCTCGCTGTGCCATTCAAAGCAGCCACAGCTTAGGGACTTCGCTCCTGGCCAGCTACCGTGAGGGGTTCCAGGAACGCAGAGGTGAACTCGGTCCACCCGCTACCCTCCAAGAGCCTGACTCATAGGGAAGATGGGCATCACACCGACGCCTACTGCACAGTGGCAGAAGGAAAATCTAGTGTGCCTCGGACACCTTTAGGATACTGCTGGCCCCTTGAAAGCTTTCTCTCAGACTTCTCCCAGCTCATTATTACTTGGAAATTAAATTCTAGTTCTAGGGTTTAATTTCATTCTGACTCTGTATGTGTGGGCTGCTTCCCCCTAGCTGCCTAGAGCAAGCATAATAGCCTACCTTTATTTTCTGAGAAAACAAAAGGGAGAGATTTCTTAGGCGAAGCAGAAGTGTTCGGGTACATTGGGAAGACTTCGATGGAGACAGTAAAATATCGCTCCCACTGAGGATCTAGGAGGGTGACAGTCAGGTGTCAGAGTCATCTGGGTCGGAGCCCCACCCGAGATGAATCGACCTCCTCGAACAGTCCAGGATCATGTCTTTGATAGCTGCGCACATCGTGGCCACTGTCCCTAGGCAACCAGCTCCTAAGTTCCTTCATGAGCTTTGGCATTTACGGTTTTAGGAGACTGTAAAGCTTATTATTGATGAACAGCAGCCTGGATGGTAACTAGAAGTATATCGGCTGTAAGCGTACCCATGACTGCCTCCCAGCAGAAGGGATCACTGGAGAGGAGGAAGATGGCAGAGCTTTGTTGGAGGTGATGCGTGAAAGGTGAAGGGGACACCGTGCCGTCGCGGGAGCAACAGCATTTTGAAGGACGAGGAGGAATCACGTGGCCATGAGGGGCATTCCCCCAGCAGAGGAAGTCATAAAGAATGGGGGAGGGCAGCAGGTGGATGAGGAACCTGCAAGTGACCTAGTGGCTGTAGCCTGGGGTTTGAGGTGAGAAGAGAAAGAGGTGAGGTGGGAGGGGAATTGCAGCAAGGCCAGCAGGGACTGCACAGGCTGTGCAAGGAGCAGGGTTTTATTTTTAAGGAACTGGAGAGTATTGAGCAGGGAAGGGTTGTGATCAGATGAGGAGGTTAGAAAGTCATGGAGTATCCACTCAGAACATTTATGGGACATGCAAGTGAGCCAGCAAGCTGGTGGGGCTTTTTTTGCCTCCTTTGTTCTTATTCATTTAACATTTAACTCGGTGCCTGGCATTGGGCTAGGTGCTGAGCAACTGAGTCCCTGAAGGAGCTCACATTTGGAAGGAAGACAGAATAATGTGCAGCTTAACTACTCTTCAGTGAGTTAAATGCTTAAAAAGTGCTACAAATGCTGTTCTTTCCAAAGAGCCATGAATGCCTAGATCCGGGGAACAGTGGTGGACAGGGGAGAGACAGCAAGGGATCTGAGCGGGGATCCACGGCTTCAGTTGAAGAGTAACAAGGTCCTGTAAATTACCTTACACTGGTAAGGTACCTCACACTTGCAGCACCCCACAGGCAGGATGAACTATGGCACCCGTAAGGAATTGCCTCTCTATCTCCCTTTCTGGTTCTGTTATCCTGCAGAAGTGAAGTAGATCCCCCCAGCTTGGCCCTCCACAACCCATGAAGCCATCTTACACTGGGTTCCAACCCTGCGTGTGGAGGTCATGCTTGTGCTTAGAAACGTTTTTCTCCCCTATTTATTTTTTCGTTTTTTTTCCGCATACATTCAGTGACCCCGAGTAATTCTCAGAGTCTAAAAGTGAAAAAGAAATCTTGATAGGAGAGCTTAAGTTAAACAATTCTAAAGGGATTTCCTCATCCAAAGGACACAAAACGCTGATCATGTTTAAACCGGGATGTAGCTGGCAGTCACATGCCAAAGACCTTTGCAGGAGAACCCTTGCACTTCATGGAGCCAGTTTTTCCTTAAAGAGCATCTCAAAAGGAGAGAGAGGGAGAAAAAGAAAGAGAAAGAACAACACATTTCAAAGACCACACAACTGGGCACCTGGGTGGCTCAGTGGGTTAAATTCTCTGCCTTCGGTCTGGGTCCTGAGATGGAGACCCACATTGGGCTCTCTGCTCAGCGGGGAGCCTGCTTCCCCTCCTTCTCTCTCTGCCTGCCTCTCTGCCTGCTTGTGATCTCTGTCTGTCAAATAAATAAATAAAATCTTAAAAAAAAAAAAAAAAGACCACACAACCAATAAGTGGGATCGTAAGGGAAGATGCCCATTTCTAGTTAAAGATGCTGAGAGCTAGATGGAAGGTGGGCTGAAGCTCAAGGCATCAGGAAGGACGTTTGCTGAAATCCGATCAAGGCCGGGCATCTTGTCGACAGAGAATAAGAAATAGGGCTGAAGCATCCTGGCTTTGAATCCCATCTCCTAAGTAAGAACCCAAAAGTTTTCTTCAAATCTCCAATGAACTGTTTCCCTACAGCCAACATTCCTTTAACATTCCTGCCCTGTTTGAAGCCACTTGCCCTCCGTCTTACACGCTGAACTCACACTAACCACCGGTTGCTCCTGCCTGGATCTGCTCCACTGGGATTTTAGGCTGCCCATGTAATTTGGTTGGGAAATGACACTTACAACCCCAGTTACATGGAATTGTCTTGATGCAGATTTGGGAAAAGGAAACAATACGGCTCAGTAGTCAGAGGGAAATCTGCCATGGACAGTGGTCCCATAGGAAGGGCAGACTGTTCAACGGATGCCCTCCCGGTGAAGTCTTTATTGTGGCTTCTCTCCCCACACGTCTTTCTTTCATTGGCTTCAGGTCCTTACTTGGCACTGTAGCAGAAGATGGTTCCCTGAATGGTGTGAATTACCCCACAGTCCATGCCAGCATTAGCAGATGGTGAGGAGAAGGGACTGTGGAGAAATTAAAAATGTCCAGGTTCAGTTCAGAGAGGTGCAGAGGTGAAAGAAAACAAAAAAGCATTTTGTATGGAGGGGTTCCTAAATTCTTCTAGGTTTCTAGCATGTTTCTCTTTAAACAGCCCTCCTAAATGTATAGCTGAGGCTATGAATACATGTCTATGTCCCTGAAATATGTCATTTCAATTATGGTTTTATGAGGTAATAGTAATATAATAACAGATGAATAATCCTATTTCAATTTGATGTCAGAATGCATGGTTTTTCTCCAGTGTCTTCTTTGTAATTTGGCTGATATTAAATGTTTGAAATGGAAGTACCTTCCTTCTGGCCCCTTAGTAACAGCAAAGCAACAGAGCCACTGCCCCACACATCAGCTTGCCCCCTGCAGTTGTGCTTGTGCACAATTTAGGCAGACATATGCTGCAGCCTCGCTGGTATCTCATCAAGAGGTTGAGTGACAAAGACAAACTTTGTCATTGATAGTGTAGCGGTGCCTAGTTCGAGCTCTGGGGTCTGACTTCCCAGATTAACTCTGAGCAAATTGTTTAACCTTCCTCTGCCTTGTTTTCCCTCCTCTGGGAAATGCAGATAAGAAGTACCTACGTCAACGTGGATGGAACTAGAGGGTATCATGCTTAGCGAAATAAGTCAATCAGAGAAAGACAACTATCATATGATCTCCCTGATATGAGGAAGTGGAGATGCAACATGGGGGGTTAAGGGGGTAGGAGAAGAATAAATGAAACAAGATGGGATTGGGAGGGAGACAAACCATAAGTGACTCTTAATCTCACAAAACAAACTGAGGGTTGCTGGGGGGAGGGGGGTTGGGAGAAGGGGGGTGGGGTTATGGACATTAGGGAGGGTGTGTGCTATGAAGTGTGTAAACCTGACGATTCACAGACCTGTACCCCTGGGGATAAAAATATATGTTTATAAAAAATAAAAAAATTAAAAAAAAAAAAAGAAGTACCTACATCATAGGGCTGCCATGACAACTGGGTGGGAAAATACATATAAAACACCAAGGATAGGGCCTGGCATGCAGACATATTTTACCTAATACTTGCTGAAATATACTAACAGCTATACACTTTACAAAACTACCTCTTTGGGCACCCAGATGGCTCAATTGGTTAAGTGTCTGGCTCTTGATTTCAGCTCAGGTAATGATCCCTGGGTGTGAGATGGAGCCCTACATCAGGCTCCACACTCAGCAGAGAGTCTGCTTAAGATGCTCTCCATCTGCCCCTCTCCCAACCTTGCTCACGTGCTCTCTCTTAAAAAATTTTTTTCCTAATTAAAAATAAAATAAACTACCTCTTTAATAAATAAGTCAGTATTTTTTTATAATTTTCAATGTGTCTAAGTCAGCAAAGAATTTATAAAAGACTAGTTAACAAAAGACATTCTATATGTCATCACCTGGCCAATTATATGATACAATTACCATAATTTTATACATTATATATTGGTTTGCTGTGTCCCCACACAAGAATGTACTTGCCATGAAGGCATGGAATTTTTGAGTTGTGTACCTGTCATTTGGTAGATAATCAGTAAATATTTGTTGGGAAAAACAGGAATCCGTAAATGTTAGCTCCCTTGTAGATAACTGGGAGGTGACAGTCTACCTTGGCTCACTGCTATTTGGAGGCTAAAAACACTATACACATTTTACATAAAGGCCTAGGTGGTAGGAAGAAAAGCATAGGCATATCTATGGTCTTCAGCTGAGCAGTATTTATAGGCCAACATCTTTGAAGTGTACAAAGTCAGAGTTATAAACAAGCCCTCAGGGTCACCTATGCATACGTAAGGACAGGCATTCCCAGGGAGCACTCTGCTTGTCAGCTTATTAAACGCTTAGGCTAGGGGTGTCTTCCTCTATCAAAAAGAGGCAGTACGGGGCACCTGGGTAGCTTAGTCGGTTAAGCGTCTGCCTCTGGCTCAGATCATCCTGAGCTAATCCTAATCCCTGGAATCAAGTTCCATGTTCTCCCTCTCCTCCTGGCTCACGCTTTCTTTCTCAATACCATTCTCTCTCTCTCTCTCTCAAATAAGTAAAGTTTAAAAAAAAAAAAAAAAGGTGATGTGACCAAGTATGGCAGTATTATCTTTTGGGGTTTTTTTTTTTTTTCCCATTTTTTTCTTTTAACAGCTAAACTTTTTTTCAAAGGAAAGTCCAAAAGCTGTGGATTGGAGGGTGGTCCTTGCTGGGCTACCCCCCCCCCCAGCATTCTGAAGTTTCTTGGAGCTACTGATGGGGCAGGAAGAACATGTGCTTTAAGTCTTACAGACCCTTCAAATCCTAGCTTACCTGCTACACATTGTGCTCCTTGGGCAAGTTATTCAACTTCTGTGGACCCTAGTTTCCTTATCTGTGCAAAGAGGAGAGAGCATGCCACACTTGCAAGGGTTCCAAAGAGTGTATATTGAGTTCCTGACCCATAATAGGCAAACCTTGTGTTTCACTGGATTCAAAAATACCACTGAGCTAATGCCAGAGCCTAGCAAGAGCCCTAGAGACCACTGCAGAAAGAGAAAATGTCCTTCCTTCATGACATCAGCTTATTGGCAGCCAAGTTCCAACCAAAAAGCCTCCCTGTCTTCAGAGATGTGCCAAGAATTTGACCCGGAGTCGTCTTTGGTTCTACAAATCATTGCCACTGCTGCTTGAGAGACTCTAGTTGCTGAGAAGCCTTGAAGAGGGATGAATGGGCCACAGGACAGATAGAACCTGTGAGCTGTTGATGAGACAGCAAAGCAGGCTTCCTTCAGCAAGCTCCATTTGGCGCCACTCAGCTCCTTACCCAGGAGCACAGTGCCTATGCTGAAGAGGCATTATTCCTGGGATAAAGATAGTCATATTATTTATTCAAATTACCACATTTACTCCATGAAAATACCACGTTTCCCAGGCAGGAGACTTCCCATCTGTGTATTTATTTGGCTACCATCCATCAGGTGTGTACACTCTCTATCAGGGACCTTCCCAAGAGATGGTAAGATGAAAATGAGAGAGGTGGTCTCCTGGGACAGATAGGCATGTGACACAATACATTACAGCAAGCCCTTCCAGTGCCTGGTGGGGTTAAGAATAATGTGCCGCGAGAACACATAAGATGGTCGTTAACTCTGCCAACTGGGTTCCATAAAGGTTTCTCCCCAAAAGTGACAGTGGAGCTGGGGTGTGAAGGAAAAGTATGAGTTTAAACCTAATGCAGGGAAGGAAGAGGTGCATTCTGGGAAGAATCATAAGCATGAGAAATAGACAGTCCAGTTCAGTAGTTCTCAAAATGTGGTTGTTCCGTCAGCATCACAATTGCCAGGGCATCTGTCAGAAATACAGATTACTGGGAAATCACCCCAGAAACTCTGAAGACGGTATCCACGAGTCTGGGTCTTGGCAAGCCCTCCAGCTGATTCTTAGGCTCACTCAACTTGAAGAACAATTGTTACGGTCAAGTGATTGTATCAAGTTAAAGAAGAACTACGTTAACAAAATATTTATCTTTACATGATACAGAGCTATCTGGGTAGATATAGATTTTCCACCCCTACTCCAACTTTTCCACAAAGGGTGAGTTAATAAGATTATGTAGCTCATAAAAGGACATAAAGGATATAGCCAAGGGAAACATAACGGAAGTAGAATAAAACCATTATCATTTTGTCATACATTTCCCAATAAATGTCCTAATACTCAAAGCAGGTGTGGAAACACGTTTGTCTTCCAAGAGTCACAGTACCTGCAAGATTAAATGGCAGCTGTTAAACACACAGCTTTGTGAATGTGAGACTGGAGAGGCATCCCCGCCACAGCCCCTCATTCAGAAGCTTCATATCAAATGGAAGAAACTCAGACAACGGCCTGAATATTGAGGCCATGCTCGCTATTCTCAGACAATCCAACTCACATCTGGATAGTATCATCAAAGACAAAAGAGAGCGGCGGCAGAAGAGCCAGAGGGGAGATGAAATAGTCAGATTTAACAACAACAAAAATTAAAAACCAGAGTAAGCTTTATAGATCACCCTGAGAACCTCATCTTGGAAGGAGGGGCTTCCGGGGACTGCCTGAACCTCCTAGGCTGAGATGTCTTCACACTCCTTACGTCTAGCAACTTCTACATGTGTTTTTTTTCCAAAAGCTTTTTCCTTGGTGCATTATGGGTGCAACACGTCTCACGCCATCTAGGGCTTGATTAGCATGTGACTTGTATTATTTTCTGACTGTTCACGCTTACGTCGTTTATCTCCTCAACTAGGTCAGAAATTAGGTCTCTCACTTCCATGCTTCCTTTAGCACAAGGTAGATTTTAAGAGGAGGCTGTCTTTGTAACTCTTCTGGAAGGAGGAATGAGAATTGGCTCCATGAGCAGAGATGAGTGTTTAAGAGAACACAAGACACAAGGACACTGGAAAGCGAGGCATGTGGGGAAGTGTGTGTGGAGCCCAGGGCTGCTGGCGTAAGGGATGGCGGGGATAGAAGACAAGGTCGTCCGGTAGTAAAAGTGTAGATCATGAAAATCTCCCACTCTGGGTCATATGCAAAGGTTTAGATTATATTATAAAAGTGTAGGAAGTATGGAAATAATTTAAAGTGAAAAATGGCCTGATCAGTTAACAAATCATACTGTTAGGATTATGCGAGATACTGCGGGGGTGGGGGTGGGGGGGGGTGTTGCAGGCTGTGCATGCGCATGTGCATGCGCTAGAGGGGGTGGGAACAAAGTCATTACGGCTTAGTGTTACCAGCAGAGTAGGTTCAAATTTTACTAGCTATATTATCTCAGAAGACTTGTTTAATCTTCAATAGCCTGTCTTCTTATCCAGAGAATAATCTCTCTCACATATTGTTTGATGATGAACTAAGCTAACGCATTTAAAGTCCTCAATATGTGCCTGGTATATAGGAGCTCAAAAATGTTTCTAATGATTGTGGTTACTAGAGGCAGAAGGACCACTCCTTTTTTATTCACTTAGCATTTGTTGGTTACTGTCTTTGTTTTTCCAACCAAGTCCAGATGAGACAAGAGAAAGGCAGTCAAGGGCTTGGAAGAGCAGCAACAGAGGCAGGAACCCCGCCATGTTCTTCCCATTCAGCTTTGAGATTGGAGCAGAGTTTGGACACTGAGAACTTGGCATGGCACGCCCCGTCCCCAGTGACATTCACAGCCCCTATGTGGAAGAACAGAACATGGTGGTGTCACACCTTGGTTTTATGTTGTTCAGAATAGATGAGACAGAAAGAAGAATCGTAGTGCAAGGAGCAGAAGGTGCTTACAAAAGGACATTTGACGTGATATGTCTCTCAGGCCAGCAAGGGAAGGAAGTGAGACCCTGGGTGCTGACAGAAATAGAGAAATGGAAGTCACTGAGGAACTGGAGAACAGAAGAAACTATCCTGAGAACCATCAGAGAGCCAAAGGGGAGAGAGAAGGGAAGGAGGAAACGTGAGACATAGGAGGTGGGGTTGGGAATAATAAGAATCCTTAATTCTTTTTATAGTGCCCAGGGCACTTCATGTAAACCACAGTTATTCAATAAATAGACGTTGAATTAAATTCATGTGCCTACATGTGACTCCGCGCCCAGTACATTGAAAGAATATAGTCTGCGGTCTTACAGGCTAACACCCTTACCTGTCAAAACTAAGAGATTTTCATCCAGGCACAGTGATTGTCGTCATGTCTTCTTCTCTGTCACAGTAACAGTGTTTCAGGAAGCTCTGTGGAGAAGGATTTGTTTGTTTAAAGTTTAAGATCAGGTGTAGAAATCCAGAGGGGAAGGAACAACCGGTTCTGAAATGAACAAATAATGATAATAAATGAAAAGGAGTCTCGTTGCTATATATGTGAAGAGTAAGAATAAGGTCCTTTAAAAACTATGTGAACAGGGAAGCAGCAGGAGTGGTGTTTGAGAAATTTCTAATCTCATGCCCATCAACAGCAGCCATCATGGGGGCTGGCGGGGGCGGGGAGGGGCAGAGAATGGAGACCCACCTGCAGAAAACACTCCAGACACACGGCATTGACAATGGTTAGCTGCAGAGGCTACCCATCTCACCCTCTGGGTGCTGACCACCTCTCTCTTGTGCAGGCAGGAGCTGATGATAGCACTGAAAGAACGAAGGCGAGATCTGAATGAGTTTCCGCAGGCTATTGAAGCCAATACGTACTTACAGTGGTAAAAGCCATTTAAAGATGCCTAGTTCTGAATGGGCCACTTCTGAGACTCACATCTGGGGCCTGTGGGACATAGGACACTTCGGTGGTGCTTCTCTTATGCTTGCCGTTAGCCCAGCTGGGCAGGAGGGTCTCTTTCCTTGCATAAGGATGCTTTGGGGGGCCTGCCATGGTTCTATCACAGACCGCTGGACCCTGGCCATTCTGGGCAGGGAGCTGGCCCGGGCTAGATGTGGAAGGTTGCTGGGCAGCTTCTCTGTTTCTTCCCCTGGGGCTACATGGATCTGCTTCTCTCTGCCTGTTTACTCCTCTCCCCTCCCCTTCCATGTTTCTTCTGCAGCGCCCTTGTCTCTGCGGCCCCACCGTTTCAAATAGCACTTGACTTTCCCTTCTGAGGTGCCAACACTGGCCTTTCCTCTCCTCCACTTTGCAGATAAGCTCATGAGGGTTCAGTGACTCTAGGAACGTTTCCATTTAAATTTCCGGGGGCCAGCATCTGATTTAGTCAGCTAGGCTGTGCATGGATGGCCCTGAGTTGGGTCTTCAAACCGGGTGCAGTGAGCTCAGAGGAGGGAGCAATCGCCTTCAACGTTCCTGGCCAGGACAGCAGCCACAGAAGCTGCGGGCAGAGGAAAAAACTTCCCCTAAGCAGGTGTCAGCTGAAAAGGCTCCCACAGAAAGGACCACTACAGGTCCTTTTGGCACCTCGGTGCTCAGTAGATTTGTACAGCAAACCTGGGAAGAAAAGCAAGCAGCATATGAAAGAAGGAAATTTATGGGGGGGAGGGGAATCTCTTTGATTCAGGTAAAAAAATATACATATAGTCTGGCTCTGAAGCAAGTTGTCTAGAATGTGCCAGAACATGTTCACGGCACTATTTAGCTGGTTATGAGAGATGTAGACAAAAATAACCCCATTTTCATCAGGGGCGATTTCCGCTGCTTCTTTTCAAGTTGTGCTGTGCTGCTTTGATTGTCACCGGCTTTGCATTTTCCCTTTCTCCACCATGGCTATCTTTATAGCCCATGGAAGAGTTTTATTCTGTCATCATTCCTGTTTCTCCTACATTGATCAGCGGCTTGCATATATTTCCCAGCATTGTTTTGTTTTTTGTTTTGTTTTGTTTTGTTTTGAATAGACACTGATGGTCTTTGCTCTTTTCTGTGAAAATTTGGCAGACATGTGTTTTTGCCCATAAGATCAGGTCTCTCCCTGCCACCGTGCCTCCCCAAGAACTATTGGCCATGGCAGGTCAAGGCAAGCATGTTCTCTCCCAGGGGAATCCATCTGTAGGCATAGCTGAGGTGACCAGACCCTCTCCTAGAAATCCCAATGAGATCAGTTCCACAGAGAGCACATCTCCAAGGTCACATAGAGTCAGAACTGTCACCTTCCAAAAATCACCAGTCCAAAATAACGCTGTGAGGTTTTTATAATATACTGCCTCAATTTTCTCCACAATGAAAATCCCCTCCTAAGTTCTATGAGATTTTTACTCCACTGGCAATAAGTATATACCAATATTAATGAGAACTTACTGTTTCTCAAGAAATATCACTGTCCACCTTTTTATGCTTAAAAGTCAAAATGAAACCCCTTTTTGAAAGCTTTATCTGAAGACAAAGGCAGTTGGAATTGTGCTACCTACTGGGACCAAACTGGAGGAGGTATGGGTTGTTGCTTTTGTGTTTTGTGTTTTGTGGTGGTGTTGTTTTTTTTTGGTACAATATCCTATCTTTTGAAAGGAAATGCTTGAAAGGGACTTATTTGTAGAAGCAGACTGACTGAAGGAGTTATTCACAAATAAAATCCAACTGCAGATGATTAGGATAGCAATTAATGTTAATGAAAAGGCAGAATACATTTTGGGTATGTAATACGGCTTAGCAGTGTATTCTGAATAATATAACTGGTGTGTTTCAGACTGTGTTTGTTTAAAGGTGCTCTAACGGTATTTGTATGACTTCAAATATAGAATACATGAAAATCGTTGAGTAGGGAAGTCTGAAAAACTGAAAGAGAATGGCATTCAGCCATCTTTTGTAGCTACAGATTCAGAAGGTCAGAAAATTTCTGAAAAGTAGACCCTTAACTTTGGGCAACGTTAACTCACACCCTGACTTCCTCTAGGTTTTCTGTTTACTTTTATCCTAAAATGGCATAGCTTTGTTTTTCAGTAGTGTATTAGTGAGAATCGTTCCTCTACTTTTTATTTAAAATCACAAGCGCATTAAACATTCATAAAGTTCTTCCTTCTTGATCCCCATAGAATTGGGTTTTATTACTAAGAGAGTAAAAAATTGCTGATAGAAAACCTGCATCCATTTGTTTATTTAAATTCAGTTATTTAACATATAATGCATCATTAGTTTCAGAAGCAGAGATCAGTGATTCACCAGTCTTATATAACACCCTGTGCTCATTGCATCACGTGCCCTTCTTAATGTCCATCACCCAGTTACCCCATCCCTCCACCCACCTCCCCTCCAGCAATCCTCTTTATTTCCTATGATTAAGAGTCTTTTACAGTTTGTCTCCCTCTCTGGTTTTGTCTTGTTTTATTTTTTCCTCTCTACCCCTATGATCCTCTGTTTTGTTTCTTAAATTCCACATATGAGTGAGATCATATGATAATTGGCTTTCTCTGATTGACTTATTTCGCTTCACATAATACCCTCTAGCCTCATCCATGCCGTTGCAAATGGCAAGATTTAAGGGGCTTCTTTGATGACTGAGTTGTAGTCCCTTGTATATATACACCGCATCTTCTTTATCCATTCATTTGCGAATGGACATCTGGGCTCTTTCCCTAGTTTGGCTATTGTGGACATTGCTGCTATAAACATTGGGGAACCTGCATCCATATTCCATAGAGTTTTGTTCTGTGCAGAAAAAGTGCCCTATGTATTTAGACAATAGTGGAAACATACGTGTATGAGCAGAGAGGCCTGCAAAGGGAGGCACCGCCCCACTGGGCCACATTCTCACCTTCCTTGGAGGTACTCTTTCCTCCTTTTCAGTGTCCTCCTGAACAGCCCAAGCAAGAAATGATTGATTCTTTTAGAATCCCTTGCCTCTCTCCTCCCCTAGATCCAGTCCGTAGCTATAGCCGGGGAAATCTTGAGTACACGGATGGCCATGACACTGTGTCTTTTAAATCGCTCTCATGGAGCACCACCACCTGCAAAGCCAAGTCCTGGGTACTAGGATAGCTTACGAAAGTTCCTGGGGATTTGGCCTTGACTGACCATCTTGCTTAAGCATCTCGCTTAAGGTTCAGAGGCAAGCATCAGAAAACAGTAACAGTGGCATAGGCAAAAATAAAGGTCTCTTTCCTCCGGCTTAAGCAGGATGCAGAGCTGGGCTGCCCTGGTCCTCCACTTTGGCCAGCTTCTTCATCTTGTGCCGCTCCAACAAGGAGTAAAGAAGGGTATGCCTTGCACTTTAGAAACATTTCCCAGAAACTGCACATGCCATTTCCAATCATATTCCATTAGCCAGAATTAGTCACCTGTGCACATCTAGGGAGACTGGGAAACATAGTCATTATTCTGAAACTACTTTATACTCTTTAACAAGGGAATCCTTTCTCTCTCTATTTCATTGAATGTTACAATCAGACATGGGCAGGTTGCACGGAGGAAAGCCAAAAAGGCCACTTGACCCTGAAAAGACTTGTGGAGATTTCTTCATCCCAGTGTGTCCCCAAACCAGAACACAGTGCTCCCTGTTCTCCCGGACAAGGTCCCTCGCATTGTCTTTCTAAAGCAAGTCATGATGGTCTGGTTGTCCGTCTTCACTGAATGAGAGAATAGAAGCCCTTCACTCAGTTCTTCTATCTGCATGTAAAGAAAAATCAAGAACAGTAGCTCTAAATAAAGACATGCAGAGAAATCAAAGTGAAATAAGGACTTGCCAGCTTTGCAAGACTATTTTCCCCTTGTCAGCATCTTCTAATATATGGTTGGGTTGTTTTTCCCTCGGGTCTAATAAATTACCTACCTTGAGAATTTCCTTTACAGTGCTGGATCGTTCTTGCTTTAGTCATCATTGGTACAGCAATGCTTCTGCTCCAGGCGTGGGAACTCTAAAAACCAGGCACGTATCAGGTACCTGAGTGGCCCAGTCAGTTAATCCTCCAACTCTTCGTCTCTGCTCAGGTCATGATATTGGGGTTGTGGGATCAAGCCACACACTGGGGTCTATGCTCAGCATAGAGTCTGCTTAAGATTCTCTCTCCCTCTCCCTTTGCCCCGTCCCCCCACTCCTGCACTCTTTCCCTCTCTCAAGAATAGTCTTTTCTTTTTTTTCTAACAGATGTTTTGGGGGGAAAAAAAAAACCCAGATGCATTTCACACCTCAGAGCTCATCTCATGGTGGCCAATATAGTCAAGAAATTTTCCAAGCCAAAAATCAGAACGTATGGTCTGACAGTAAAATCGAACTTAAGAGGACAACAAAACACAATTTTGAAGTCATAGTGAAGAAAAATATCAGA